CTATAACAAAGTACTTAATTGCCACGTTCCAGAAAATTTAATTTTTAATCAATGATAATAAATCAGAAGATTATCAGAACATTTATTTATTTAAGATTAATTTTATAATTTTTTTATATTTCACACTTAAATTAAAAAAATAATATAATATTTAATAATATTGTATTTATATGTTTATATAATATATACAGCATAAAATAAAGAGTGCCAGAAAATAGCTAATATAAATTTAATTAATTAATATATAAAGAAAAATTTAATAAATCTTAAATATAATTAAATTTTTTACAGTTACCAGAAGACTATTCATCTACCGCTAAGTCTTCAGCATCGGTTAGCAGTAGCAAAGTTAATACGCATGCACCTGTCACTGCTGCGGTTAGTAGCATGACCAAGGTGCATAGCAAGTCAAATGGTGTTTTCCCTACAGCCGCAATGAAACATGAAAATCCACATTCCGTACTTCTAATGGATGCGTTTAGTCCACCAACAGCAAACGATGTTCAAGGTACATAAAAGATAATTTTGAATCATTGCTTCATATATATGCATTAGAAAATTTTAATTTATTTAATTGTTTTAATTATAGCTAGCAGCAGAAGACCTCTATTACCACGTCAGCCACCAATTGGTGGCACCGATAGAGATGAAAACAAATACAAAAGACGTACACCAGCAGAAATATTTGCTCGCTGGTCAAGGCGTTTCTATGCACCATCATCACGTCCGCCCTGGCGACGTACGTGGTTCTTAGTGCTCAGCGGTATAACAGCATTTATTGTGATCATTTATATAATGGCTGTACTTGGTCGCAGTGGTTCTGATGATGCATTAGGCGATGCTTGGAATAATCCAAATCCTAATCCTAAACATTATGAATGAATGGAATGGAAAGACAAAATTATATATAAATAAAAACGACAACTCGATATTGATGTGGCATTTAATTTTTTATTCATTTGCCCAACCACTAAAACAAAAAAGGAATTCTGATGCTGTTTTTAAAACAATAAATCTATGCAGCACGCAGTTACAGCGTTTATAACGAATTATTTATCAAATTTTATTTTAAAGCTAAGTAACTAACTAAAATACTTATATAAACTTATTATTATAAAATATATTGTATATGTTATTAAAAATCACGATTCATTGTTTAGTGTGACCATTGGTAGTTACCGAGACGATACTTGGTGATGGTAGCGGCTCATAAGTTGGCATAGCACAAAAGTTTACTGTCAGCCAATCAACAATTGGTGTAGGACAAATGCGAAATAGTACGCGATATAGTTTATAACTAAAACGGAATTTTGTTTTTTATGAAAAAAAAACAAATTTTAAAAATAAGTAGAAATTTTTAGCTTACCGCCATGGTTCATGTATGTATAAAGCCTTTGGATTTGTATTTGTTAGCGCTTCTTGGAATTTTAATAATAACGCTTCATCCTGCACTTGATTAGGGGCCTTAAAACCGGACAGTATTTTTAAGTAATCATTGAACTTTTTGAAATAACTGCCATAAAACACTCGTTGTTCGGCTGTGAAGTCTTCCCACATATGTTCTGCGTGTTGTTGTTGTCTAGCGGATATGTTACTGGCCATAACGAAAGAGCCTGGTATAAAGTTGACCACCTCAACACCATATTGTTGCATTTCGATTCGTAAAGAGTCATTCCAAAAGCGTAATGCTGCTTTTGAGGCTGCATAGCAACTGAGCGCAGGTAGAGCCTGTGGAATGATTGCAAAAACTCTATATATATATATACTAATAGTAGGTGCATAGAACATAGACGGGTACAACATGCCTTAAGACATTTGTATATATACTTTTGTATGTTTAAGATTAGAGAGATTTTTGAAGAGAGATCTTTGAAGTGTATACTTTATGTGCGCATTTAAATTTAATAAGTTCTAATTCTATCTATTGTTTAAAAAAGTATCCACCTTAATATGGAACTGAGCACTATTTAGTTATTTTAAAAGATGTAATTGAATCGTATTGATTTTGCAGTCAGAATCTGTGAAGTGATTTATTGAAGAACGTCAAAACCGGATGTAGGTTATAGCACCGATAAAATACAGCAACGCACAAATAATATTGGGGAATTGCTGAGTTATCTGTATATATATATATATATATCTATATATATATATTAAGATACCTGTATATATATTAGGATGTCGATATATTAAGGTATATAATTGAATCACAGATCATAACTGTACCCTACATTATGAATCCTTTATCCTATTAACAAAAATTGATTAAAGTATGTAATAAGGTGTGAGAACAATACTAAAAACTTAAACACCTTCAGTACTGCCTATTCATACTATTTATTGTACAGTACACAATTTTCTCGAACATCCAAGCTGCTATCAAACTTCTAGTAGGCGCTTTAGCTTCATTCTCAATAGTCCCAGAACGCCAGGTTTCTCTTGATGAATTGTCCTGCTTTGCCAGTATCTAATTCATTTGGGAACCTGAACACAGGTGCATCTCGGTTAACTCTCTGAAACTCACTCTAAAGTAGCTGAAGAAGTTCGGATATAAGAAGATTCTTGCCGGACTACAAGACTTGTTTGTTAAGAAAAGTACCAACCAGCTACTTCAAATAAAGCGGCGTATGCAAGGAGATTTGATTTTAAACTGTGAGTTTATTTGTGACTGGTGATGCAGAAAAGTAGGAAACTGTCTTTTTTTTTATGTGTCAGTGCGCATCTTTGGATAGACAAAAATTTAATATCTTTCTGGCCCTTTCCTCATCGACCTGATAGAACTGCCTTCGTTCAAAATTAGGGATATAGCTCGGTTTTTTAATTTGTCAGTTTGGTGATATCTAGTTAAATGTGGAAGTCTACATGCAGACCGTTTTAATTTATATACCTATTTTCGTGGTCTTCTTGGTCTGGCACAATACCAACATTTTTATCGGTGGTATCACAATGCATCCTTGTTTGTGTTCAAATGAAAAATAGTGTGCTAGGTCATCAACCTAATCTAACCTAATTAAACCTCAAGAATTTATCGACAAAATAAATGATGAATTGGACTTAATTATTGGATTTAAATTATTGGATTTAAATTATTGGTCTATGCTATAATAATATGACTGATAATTTGGTATCCCGATTAGCTAAGTATACATGGTAGGGGTTAATAGTTTTAGTCACATTTTTTATGATTACCTAGCTTTAATCTGAGTCAGGAAAAGACTATTGAGATGGAACTTTTTGAGCCTGTTTGATATTAGACACTTCTTTACGAATAGCATTTTAACCTTGATTTGAAAGGATGAATGACTTCTTTTGGTAAGGGTTAATTACAATACAAATAATATACCGGCAACTTCAACCTCTATTATATATTATCTATTAATTTTTAAAAAAAATAATATTTTATTTAATAATTTTATAATAATATATTAAAATTTCAATTTTAGAAGGTTAACCCAGAAGAAATGACTTCTAAAGTTTCGAAGGTATGAGATCCTGTTTTATAGTTTCGTCTTCTATATATCGTCATTTTAATGGTTCAAATCTGTTTCATTAATAACAGGAATCTTTCACTCTAAATTACGATTTTTGTTGTGTCATTTATATGGAATAACGAGCCACAGAGTTTAAAAAATTGGTAAAGAATCAACAGAATATTTTCTCCTACTCTTGAATTAGAAGGTGTATAAATATATATATATTATATATTCGTATATATGTCTATATTACTTCCACACTTCCATGTGTTTAGAATTACTTCCACTTTCTATTATCTTTAATAGAATTCTCATTCTCATTCTTTAATAAAATGTTCTATTATCTATGTTTTATCAATTTTCTTTTACCTGTAATCCACAATGACTGGTCACATTGATAATTCTGCCGTGATGTTCCCGCACCAGTGGTAGCATTTCCTTTGTTAATCGCATAGTGCCCAATACATTAACATTGATTTGCATTTCAAATTGATCTTGAGTTTGCCATTCGAATTCTCCAAAACACATGACGCCAGCATTGTTCACCAGCGCCGTGAATTTATAATCCCGGTTCTGAGTTAAAAGTTCATTTGTGATTTTATGCGCATGCGCAATTGTGCTCTGCTTTAATAAGTCCAATTCGATGGTTAGCATACGTTTTGTGTCGCTCAACTTTTGCAACATTTTGGCACCATCCGAATCAATATTATGACAGGCTGATATGACGGTCATATTTAGTGCCCGATGACAAAACAAAGCTAGAGAAAAGCTATGCGAAGATATAATTTTTATTATGAATATTGGAAACTGAAATTAAGTTGCAGAACAGTTAAATGAAGTTATAGAGCACTTAAATCAATTATGAAACTTAAATCAAGTTGCAGAGCACTTAAATTAAGTTGTTGAATGATTATTTTAATTTACTGAACGATCACAAAAATTTACTGATCATTTACTGATCATATTCACTGTTTGTACTCACCCAAGTCCAGAATCACAGCCGGTTATAAAAATCACATTATCAGGAGACATTTTCACTTGACGTCCTGTTAATGGACTCAACACTAATTTGGAGACTGCACGTAACATTGTTCTCTACTCGATCTTAGCTGCTGAATTCTTTAATGATCGACAGTTTTTACTGAATCTTCTATAAATTTTATTAATTTTCGTTTTGCGTTCGTTGCTCCCTTTCTTTTCTTCTTGCCTGATAAACCTTTGATTTTGCTGACTACGGGTAATTCTCTTCGTCTGTCGATCGTCTGCTCACCGTTCTTATCACTTTACTGGTTTTAAGCGTACTGAGCCTTTGTTTCTTCACTTCTTGTATTTTAGGTAGAATTCGCGTTCGAAATAAAAGCAGGAGAAAAACTCTAAAGTATCTTTTTTCGTTTATATCTTTTTATGTATTTTAATTCTGCTGTTGTTGTGTAAATGAACTTGAATTTGTAATTCGTAAATAAATTAAACATCTCACATTTTCTGATATATTTTTCTGACTCTTTTATTTATTCATATTTACATATAAGTAAGCAAATGCAGACGTAAATAAATGCGAATTTCGAGTATTTTCCTTAAATGCAATTAAGTTAAAAAAAATTTCTGTATATAAAATTTATAAAAAAAAAATCATTATATAAAATCTCATGAACATATACCTAAATAATGAAATTAAATGCAGATTTGGTCTATATATTAAAAATTTATTTTATTCTTATTTGAGTAAGTATTGTGGAAACTATTTCAAACCTTAAAATACTACTCTAAAGTCTATAATGCTAAGAAGAAATGGAATTTCTTCTTACTCAATTGAAACTCATTTAGGTTTCAAAGGTTTTTAGGGTTTGGGGTATAACCCTAAAACCCTTTGAAATCTAATTGAGTTTCATTTTGATACTCCAATTCTTCTAAGCATCATAGACTTTGAAAGACTAGTGATTTTATAAACAATATGACCCATTTTACCTGATCTAATATAAAAGCCTTTAATTATGCGCACCCATTTTGTTAAGTTTGTTACCATATCGTTGATTCATTTTGTCTTCTGCTTGCCTCTACAATCTAAGCCTGGTCCAAAGTAGACAAGTGATGCATTAGTCAACTGTTTGAACTAAAGCGCAATCTGATCAGTCCTACGGTATAGATGCTAATAGGCCATGGCTTACTAGGAAGACTTGCTATAACTCTGGGCCTATAGCGTAAGTACCATATTTGTTGTGGTTGTGACTCTAAGGGGAATAAGAAATATGTGTTTTATTATCTTTCTCAATACCTTCATTGGCCAAGAGAAGATAAAAAATTTATGATGCATGTTTTCTTACCGAATTGACATAGCTGTAATCCAGCAAAATTAGAGGTTTGATCAAGTTTATAGGCTTGTGAGATTGGTTCACTTAACCGTGCTTTTCAGCATTGCCTGTACGCTGACCATTACGGTCTTTTGGGCGTACTTCTGGTCTGTATATGAACACTCTTATTTATGGTATTATAACGAGCCATTATTTGTGCTCAAGTGGGGTTTGATGTATAAGGCCGGCACTACAACCTACAGTAATGTTGCCTCTAGTATGTTAGCTTAGAATTTATTTTTTTACT